GATGTCGAGCACGATTAGGCTGAGACAAAGAGGGAAACTGACGTACCGATGCTGCTCCTGAACGGAGTTCCCTCGATGATGATGTCGAGCACGATGAGACTGAGACAAAGAGAGAAACTGACGTACCAATCCTGCTCCTCAACGGGCGTCCCCCTCGATGATGATGATGTCGAGCACGATGAGACTGAGACAAAGAGAGAAAACTGACGTACCAATCCTGCTCCTGAACGGACGTCCCGTCGATGATGATGTCGAGCACGATGAGGCTGAGACAAAGAGGGAAACTGACGTACCGATGCTGCTCCTGAACGGACTTCCCTAACGAAGATGTTGTGCAGCAGGAAGAGGTTGAGACAAAGAGGGAAACTGACGTACCGATCCTGCTCCTCAACGGGCGTTCCCTTGATGATGATGTCGAGCACGATGAGGCTGAGACAAAGAGGGAAACTGACGTACCGATGCTGCTCTTGAACGGACGTCCTCTTGAAGATGTTGTGCAGCAGGAAGAGGTTGAGACAAAGAGGGAAACTGACGTACCGATGCTGCTCCTTAACAAACGTCCCCTCGATGATGATGTCGAGCACGATGAGGCTGAGACAAAGAGGGTTGCTGACGTACCGATGCTGCTCCTTAACGGGCGTCCCCTCGAAGATGTTGTGCAGCAGGAAGAGGTTGAGACAAAGAGGAAAACTGACGTACCGATCCTGCTCCTGAACGGGCGTCCCCTTGATGATGATGTCGAGCACGATGAGGCTCAGAGAAAGAGGGAAACTGACGTACCGATCCTGCTCCTGAACGGGCGTCCCCTTGATGATAAGGTCGAGCACGATGAGGCTGAGACAAAGAGGGAAACTGACGTACCGATCCTGCTTCTGAACGGGCGTCCCCTCGATTATGATGTCGAGCACGATGAGGCTGAGACAAAGAGGGAACCTGACGTGCCGATGCTGCTCCTGAACGGGCGTCCTTTAGAGATGATGCACATTACAAAGATGCTGAGACAAAGAAAGAAACTGACGCACCGATGCTGCACCTGAGCGGGCGTCCTATCGAAGATGATGTAGAGTACGAAGAGGCTGAGGAAAAGGGACCTGCTACTACTTATGGCTCTTTGAAATTCAGGCATCTTTCAGGTGATGGAAACATAGAGACATTATCCGTAAAGGCTGCACTAGAGCTTTCAAGTAATCCAGAGGCTACCATTGACCCAACGCCTTTACTGGTCACCTCCTGTTCGAATGATGGTTGTGGTTTAATGGAATGTCATTACCATCTTGATTTATGCGCCGAAGCAACGGGCAAGTCTCTTCTCCCTCACACTAGCTCACCTTCTGATCCCGAGACACGTTCAAAGAATACAGTGGATCGTCGACTAAGGAATCCTGTCCTTGCTCGAAAGTCAGTTTCAGCTCCAACACAGGCCTGTTCACCACATGCGAAAGATTACAAGTTTAATCAGCGAGAACTAAAGCAGAGACCATCCATCAGGTTCAGGGCATCATTGGAGTCGATGACTACTGAAGTCGGTGGTGGAGACATGAAAGCACAGCCTACTGAAGCACCATCCTCATGGTGGAAACTAGACAAGCCTTCCAGTTACCCAGAGTTGGAAGAGCCGAGTATGAGCCTCCTGGACTTTACAGCAGTTGATCAACCTCGTGGACTGGAAATCCTGATCAAGAAAAGAGCACCACGGCAGTTTTTGGTGTGCACCAGACTTGGTAAAAGGAGATGGGCCCCGAGGACTAGAAATTGTGCTGCAGAATTCAGAATATTTCAACCCTGTACAACAGAAGGTATGGCAGAGGTGTCAGATAACGGACATGTTAAGCAAGGCGTCAACAAGCAACGTGGCCGCTTCGTCTTGCCATGGGAAGAGCCACTCTAAGATGAACATGCAGGTCAACAAGTTTCCTGTAACTGAGGGAGGGGACACTGTCCGAGACGAGCCAGCTGCATTCAGACCTTCTTTCCCACTGGCACTTTTAACACACAGGGTCAAGAGGGGCTACAGACTCATCTCTATGCTATACTGATAAAGATTAAGCTGCATAGAACACAAAAGGAATGTGATCTACACTTGTAAATCTTCATTATTACTGTGTACTAGTATTCTTGTAGTTTCCGTATGTGTACCTGCACTTGTAACTTTGATTACCGTCATCACTGGAACATCATTGAAGTCGTATACATACCATTCTATTCGCATACATGTGGTTTCCTTAAGTCTTCTGAGCACAGAACAAGAGTATTATTTATTTATTCTATTTTTAACCTAGGTTCAATTATCGCCTGACGCCAGCATTGACGAGTTGTTATGATTTGTCTCGGGTCATTCTCAAAACGCACAAAATTCATGTTTAAAGAATATTACTGTAAAAACGACTTGTACATGTATGTGTCTAGAATATCACGGAGTGTATCGTTTTCTCACATCTTAGAATTGATTGACCACTTGTTTGTGTTAGGGCAGACCAAGGTCTGTGTAACATCAATGTGTCCTTGTAAAATATAAAAGAAAATGTACGTTTGGAATGGTAAAGTTACATACATGTATACATACGAACGTGCTATTTATTTTTTGCATACCAGAGATATGAACATTATTTACAAACCACGGATTTTAACAGATTTATTGTTTTACTACTTTGTTATACGTATACACGCGCGTACCCATATTATAAACTCAAGGAAATTCAAAGCAATGTACACCTCAATGTTTTGTGGTTTTATAAACATATTGACTGCAATACATGTATGTCTTCTAAAGCCACAGAAGTGTTGTATTTACTGCTGGGTACAGAATGATTGCTTTGGGTGGCTAAGTTTTGAGTAAAGCGTATAGTAGTCCGTGCAGAGTAGGTTGACAGTACTTGTATGAGGGAGATTGACAGGCAACAATGACCAGAAAACTCCATCGTGATAACTGCCTGAAATTTTAAAACTTAATTTTATATTTGGCAGTTAAGGAAATGTGAACATCATTTAACATAACTAATGGAAATGCTAGAACAGAATTCTTTGCTTGGGTAAGACTGTCTTTGGGTGGAGAATATGATCAACATATTTCATGCAAACGAAGATATTATTTTGCATAATCAGGGGAAAAATTTAATTCATTAGTTAAAGGATTGATATCATTTTGGCTTTTTATCTGTATATAAAGTGCTGATGTATCTAATTATCTATCTATTGCCGGCCTGTTCAGCCGGGACCAAGCAACTACAGATTTCTTTCCAACGATCCTTACCTAACATAGCTTTTTATAAACAATCAAAATCAAAGCCAGTGTCTTTAAAGAGTCAGTGAAAGGCAAACCTCTGGAATGGACTCTGCCCCTCGGTTTGCACAGGAGGACGGCCGAAATCACCTCTTGCTTTGCTCTGCAACAATGTCCCGCAAACTTAACCCGTCGGTGGGTGAGCTTTACGGACACCCGTGGGAGGACACTATAAATAGTGTTGATAGTGGCATGCTGTGTCCAAGATATGTTCTGGGCTCTACGCAGGAGCTTTCTATAGGTCCCATCCAGTCTGTTTTGCAGATAAACGGTTGAGCGCCCATGTTTCTGAACCATAGAGTAATATAGGTTTTACATTATTTAAAAAAAAAACTTGGACCTTCAATTTGCTAGACATATTTGATTTCCAGATTTTATCCAATCTGTTGCTTGCTTCCCGTGCCAGGTCTTTTCTTATTTCAAAATCTTCCTTGGGCACATAAAGTAGGAGCCAAGATATCTAAAATTTTCAACTCTCTGGATAAGTGCCCAAGACAATGATCGGAGTTCTAGTGATCCAGTAATATTAGTTATGTATTCTGTCTTAGATTCACTGCAATATAGTGATGCAGATTCCTCCAGTTCTCGGAGCAAAGTTTCTGCATTTTTTTTTTTACTTATTCAGCAACTAAAGCAATGTCATCTGCAAAATCCAACTCAGTAAGATACTAGACAGGGTGTCTTCGACTCCTGCGTGGTTTGATTTCTGTGTATGTCTAGTGAGAGTCTTAGATATCGTAGATAATCAAGAACATGCTATGGTATCGCCCTGAAAAACTCCAGTTACTACCTCGAATGAACTAGTCCCGCCGTTGGAAGTGAACACTGAGGCTGTAGTATTTCTATACAGAGTCCTGACTGCTTTGATGAAACATTGTTGAATACCATACTGTACTAGGATATCAAACATAACATCAATGGAATCGAATGCCTTACGGAAATCGACAAACAGTAATACAAAATCCCTATTACATCTCTTCATTTCTTCAATTATACGACGTATTGCAAGAATCTGTACAATTGTAGACCTACCTTTTCTAAATCCATTTTGGTTCTTCCTAAGTATAGGGTCTAATACAGGGGTAAAGGCTTATTATACACCTTTGCTGCGATGGGGGTAAGCGTAATTCCTCTGTAATTAGAAGCAGATGTTAAGTCTCTTTTTTAGGAATTGGGACGGTTCCTCTTTTTGGCCAATATGAAGGTGAACTATGATTCATAAAGGTTTGCAATTGGTTACATATGTGTAAGAGAAGACCTTTAAAAGCCTCCCCATTAAGTCATTCTTGTATGTCTTGACTGTTGGTTCGACTGTAGCAATATCGGTATAAAATGATATGGGGATATGTTAGAGTGCATTGCGATATCACAAATACCTATCAGAAACAATATTTAATGTCACCTAGAAAACCAGTCTGTATAGCACCTTTTTCTCTTTCATTTATTAAAAAAATGTAAGAAAAAGATTGAAAGAATAAGATTTTTAAGATACACGGGTGTATACAAAGTGGTGATGCATCAAATACGCATTACATTGCATCAAAGTTCACGTCAAACAGAGGAAGCATTATCCATAGTCCACGAATACTTGTTACAAATGTTACGCAAAACACCAATATTGGTATGGCGGAAATTTTTTATAAAAGTCGTGTAAATTCTTAAAATCTAAGCTGACAATACCTAATATAAAACTGAATCTTAGAAATTGATGTGAGAACATCTACAAATATTAAAAATATCAACCGACAAATAATCTTGATAAGTAATTCATCTAAGATGAGTCATTTTTAACTAAGAAGGAAACAATGAAACGCCTGCCAGGATTACTTTCTATAAAAAAAGTAGGAAACACTCACACAAACACATACACAAACACACTCACGCAAAACACACACACACACACACACACATACAAAAACACACAGATCAGATGTCTTTTTTCTTGTCGATTATTCTGAGTCCAACACAGTAGCCGGTTTCAATGGGCCACATTGAATAATTACATTAGGAACACACTATAGTCCAATCAGTAGTTTCCGTTTCCAGCAGTTGGTGTTCTGGTCTGAATTCCGACTACCCTGTGGCGACAGAAATGACTGAATCAGTATTATCATGAAAGTTCATCTGTGTTGGTAGTTTCATGTTTAGAGTTAAAAATCCTTTGATCCACAAAGAAGTTTTCTGACCTAGAGCTTTCGACAAATAACTCTGGTCGTCCTAAGTAGACCGGCCGAGTTATGCTTGTAAGGTGGCTTTCTTGAAGTAAACATCTTAACAAGTTTGCAAGTTGACGTCTACTACCGAGATCTAGGTTAGAGAACTTTTTTGCGTTGGATCAAAAGTTTTAACTTTAAACACTCCAACAAACATTATAGCAATACATGTCGAGAGGGAGGGGGGGAGAGAACATACAGGTACAAATTGTTAATCTCATGCAGCCGCGCATTAAGAGCCATGTCTGACCTTGCAACAGAAAATCAACGATTCTACATGTAGATATGTCACAGTCAAATATATATACCACAGTCGACTGAGTCGTCCAGCGATTGCCCTTCGATCTAATGTCTGTCAAAAAAGGCTCGTTTGCTTAAGTAAGACTTCCATACACAGACAAGTTCTGTACCAGTGTGTATGTTTGTGCCTGTTACTCGAGTGTGTGTGTGTCTGTGCGTGTGAGCTTATGTGTGTGTGTGTGTGTGTGTGTGTGTGTGTGTGTGTGTGTGTGTGTGTGTGTGTGTTTAGGTGTCTTTGTGTTCGTGTGCGTGCGCACGCGCATGCATTCGTGTGTTTGTTCGTGTGTGTGTGCTTTTGTGTGGTTGTATGTATGTGTGTGTGTGTGTGTGAGAGAAAATTGTTGCACGTTTGACACAATGTAACATTGCTACAATGCATACATTGTGATCATTTGCCATCTACACCTGCCCATTTACCTGTTATCTTGTAGACCTCATTTCCCCAAGCCCCGCCTTCCCCGTCCTCTGCGCAGGTTGTAGTAGGTCCGTACCTGTTGTAAGTGTTGATGCCATTAGCAGACCCGAAACACTCTCCGCCATACTGTACAGCAAACACGGTGAAGTCACGAGACAGTGCTACCTGGTAACACTTCTGGATGGCGTGTTGACGGCTCCGAGGGTCACCATCCAAGAGTGAATCTGTCCCCTCTAGTGTCGGAATGGCGCGGGTATGAGTGTCCCTCCAACAACCCAGGCTGGTGTACCCTGAGGAGACAGAAAGGACTGAATAAGTAATGGTATCATAAAAACGCCACCAATCATTATTCTAAACCTGTAAGGATCAATAAATAATATCATTCATGCAAATTAGGACTTGTGTCTGTTGATTGTGTATGTGCACGTGTGAATGAATGAATGAATCAATGAGTTTTTATTTCCATGTCATGCCCTTCACGTGCCCAGCCCATGTGAGCTACTCTCCAAGCAGAGGTTTGGAAAAAAAATTCAGTGCAAAAGAGAAACCCCGATAAAAAAGCAAAAAAAAACACGCTAAAATACCCCCAACCCTCTGCTTGGAGACTATTGTGGGCATGAACGACAGCATTTGATAGTACTATGTAAGTAGTATATGAACAAAAGAGGATCGGGGGTACAGAGGTAATTAAATCAAACCATAGAGGGAACACAAAAAAGGAATAGGTAATTACGTAAGACGCATACATTGTATATGTACAGAAGAAAAACTACCCTGAACTCATAATATATGAAATGATAAATGCAAGTAAAAAGATGCTGTACGTAATAAACAAAGATGTCACAAGATAAATACAAGTACATAAGATAAATGAAATATAATAAAGGAACGCAAACATACACAGAAGTAACAGAAGGGGATGACTATTAATGAGGTATGAATAATGT